AGTACCAACCAGGAGGGACACGGGTCCAATAAACACGTGGCGGCACTAATCTTACCCAGAACCCTGTCCACATCCTCGGGAGCCACAGGATCAAACGCCTCCCAGATAACATTCTCAAGACCTGCCCTCGTCTCCTCCTGTGGACTCATCCAATCGGAGTCCAAGCCATCCCGAATCCGAGCGACTTTATCATGCAGGAATTGCACAAAATCCTCAACAAAATCCTTATAAAGAGCTTCTTCTTTTGGAAAGGGGTAAGTTGTAACTGAAATCTCTAGATGAATTAAAAGAAGAAGGGATAATTTATACTTGGTTTCAGTATGGTCAGCTTCAAGCTAGATGGAGGGAGGATCAAAAAATTGGTGTTATGCAAAATGAGGAAAATCTGGTGAAACAGATTAGAGATCAAAGTCAGATGCATATTAAAAGGTTGTATAATGCTTTATTGGAAATAGATTCAGAAACGGAATTCGTTAAGGATTGTATAATAAAATGGACACAAAACTTTCAGGAACCAGTGATGATGGAAACGTGGGAAAAGATTTGGGTCAGAAATGTTAAATTTACGCAAGCACAAAATCTGAGAGAGAATTTTTATAAAATGTTTTATAGATGGCACTTAGATCCTAAAAAATTATCATGTATGTACTCGAATTTGCAAGCTAAATGTTGGAGATGTGAATGTAATGATGCAACCTATTATCATATATGGTGGACCTGTAAGAAAATCAAGGCATTTTGGATAAAAATTTGGTGGGTGATGCAGAACATTTTGAAAAGAAGGTTGAAATTTACTCAGTTGTTTCTATTGGGCATAACTACGGACTGTACAGTATCAGAGACTAAATTGACTTTGAACTTAATATCAGCAGCTAGGCTGTTGGTAGCTCAATATTGGAAGAAGGACTCTTTGCCTACTATTGAAGAGTGGATATTGAAAGTAACAAACCTAGCAGAAATGGCGAAAATCTCAGCGTATTTGAAGGACCACGCGCAAGAAAGATACGTATTGGAATGGAGAAGATGGATTGATTATATTCAAAATAAGTATCAGACAAGAAAATATCAAATAGCTTATGAATGAATGTTAGTATTAGAAGTATTAGGTTATCTATAGTGGAGTTAAGGTTTCGGGGGGGAGTTAGTACTTTGAGGATAAGTAGATTAATCTATTTTATGATTGATTAAATGAAATACCTTGTATTTTGCTCTGGGAAGTCTGGGGAGGGAGGGTGGGATCAGGGGGGGAAAGGGTGGGGGGAACATGGGGGGAAGAAAATTTTTATATTTTTTTTTGTAAAACTTTTCAATAAAAAAAGAAAGAAAGAAAGAAAGAAACTTGGTGACTTTTTCTCACAGCTCCTTTTCCCTATCCCCCAAGCCATTTCTATCCAGAACAAGTCCCATTTCATTTTGTATACTGGCCAAAATATCTGAAACACAGCAATAGCACTTAAGACCTATATACCACTCCATAATGCTTTATAGCACTCTCTAAGCCAGCGGTTCTCAACCTGTGGGTCACGACCCCTTTGAGGGTCGAACAACCCTTTCACAGGGGTCGCCTAAGACCATCGGAAAACACATATTTTCGATGGTCTTAGGAACCGAGACAGACCCATCTGTCTCAGATCAGCTGGCCTTAGCGTCTTAGTGTGCGTGCACACCAGCCATGCCGTCATTGCCCACATGCAGCCCTGGGACTCTGCCCTTTGCCAGCCAGGAGCGCTGCCGCCAGTCACTCCCGTGCACCCGGCTGCCTGCCTGCCTCGTCACTGCCACCATGAGGAAAAGCCCTGAAGTTGCGCTGCCTGGGATCCATGTGGGCTGCCACAGGGAGAGGCCAGGTATGGCTGGCTGGACGCTGCCGGGAGCTGAGCTCGAAGCTGGCAGGAGGAACATTGCCTCTTAGCCGGCTCGAACTGTCTGCTGCAGCAGCCTGCCACCATCCCCTCTCCCCTGCCAGCTGCTCCTGCCACTGCCAGGGAAGCGGCTGTGCGAGAACTGCTGCTGCCAAGGGCGAGGGGGCAGTATTGGCAAGGATGGGTGGTCCAGGGCTTCCTTGTCTCCCCACCCGAGCAGACTTCTGGCATAGCCCCAGGCTTCCGGAGGGAGGGAGGGAGGGAGGGAGGGAAGCCCTGGCCTGCTGCTCCTGCCGCCACCACCCCTTTGCCCCCAGCAAGAGTGGCTCTTGTGCTGCCACTTCTCCGGCAGCACCAGGAGCAACTGCCGGGGCAGAGAGGGCAGGGCAGGCTATAGTGGCAGGCCGTTCTCTCCGTGTAAGAAACAGGCTACTCCTTGAACAGGCAGAAGAAGGAGAAGCCACCAGCGGGGAGGTGAGCTGCCCCAGGAGAACTGGAGGAGAGCGCAGCTCCTCACTCATGGAGATCCACCAGCGGGGAAATGGTCGTGGAAAGCGGTAAGAAATGCGCGAGCCAGGAAGCGGTCATGCTCCCTGGCAGGAGAGGGTTGCACGTCCACTCCAGCAAAGGTTTGTGCAACCCTCTCCGGCTAGGGAGCATGACTGCTTCCTGGCCAGCGCAACTCTTACCGCGCCCACTTCCCTACCGGTAGATCTCCATGAGTGAGAAGCTGCGCTCTCCTCCAGTCCTCCTGGGGCAGCTCGCCTCCCCGCTGGCAGCTTCTCCTTCTCCTGGCTGCTCCAGGAGCAGCCTGAGACTCTGCTTTCCTTGGCAAAGCGCTTCATCATTGCAGCGCAGGGGACACGTGCGGCGCAGGAGAGCCATGCAGCTACTATCCCACCCCTCAGCCTCGGCCATGCCACAAGGCTCCAACTCAAGGAGGAGAAGACGGAGGAAGGGGGGGGGAGTCCAAACTGCAGCTTCCTCGAGCAAGCCGCAGCGCTATTACGCAGGGCTCCGAGTGGTTGGAAAAGCGGCAGAAACAGCAGCCAGGGCTGCGCTTTCAGCGGGTAAGCAACGCTGCCTCTGCAGCGAGGAACTTTGGAGAGAGAGGGCGGGGGCAGGCTGTGGCCATTCTCGCCAGCTAAGAGACAGGCTGCTCCCACAGCCTGCCTCCGCCCTCTCTCTCCAAAGTTCCTCGCGGCAGAGGCAGCGTTGCTTACCTGCTGAAAGCACAGTCCTGGCTGCTGTTTCTGTCGCTTCTCCAACCACTCGGAGCCCTGCGTAATAGCGCTGTGGCTTGCTCAAGGTAGTTTGGACTTCCCCTGCCCCCCTCTTTCTCCGTCTTCTCCTCCTTGAGTTGGAGCCTTGCGGTGTGACCAAGGCTGAGGAGGGGTGGGATAGTAGCTGCACGGATCCCCCAATGCCGCCCGTATCCCCTGCCCTGCAATAATGAAGCGCTTTGCCAAGGAAAGCAGAGTCTCTCGGCCAGGCGGGAAGCGAGATCTGGCATCGCAGGCATAGGAGACTGTGACAGCCAGGCAAGCCCATTCTCTCTTGGCTGCTTGGAAAAAAACAGTGAGAAAACAGAGGATGAGGAAGTTGGGAAGCCATGAAACGGGATTGAGGGAATGGAGGGAACGGATAATTCAAGCAGTATATTGGTCTTTCCATACAACGAAAGGAGCAGCAGACTGGGGCTTCAATCCCTTCCCCCAGAGGCCTGGGCCTCTATCGGCACACTCAGCCTTCTGCTTCGGAAAATATGTTAACCCCCTTTTCTAGCAGCTGCTAAGTCATGTCCCAAAGTTGCTTTTTTTCCCCAAGAGGCAACTGGAGTTTCTTGTTTTTTCTTTGGCTTCTCATCCACCAAGAAGCTCTGACTAGAGTTGGTGGGGAATGGAAGGATTTATATTCCTTGCAAGGCCTCAAAACCAGAGCTGTGTTCGTTGATGACACAAGAAGGATGGGTTGTTATACAAACTGTGCCATATTATCCCCTGCAAAAATCTCTATTGACTAATAACATGCTGAGTAATAGGTTCTTTCAGATAATAATGGGGGACAATATAAATAAGGTAAGAAGAAAAATTATGAGCAACTCACTCCTACCAATGCGTGCTGACCTTCCTCATTTATTACATATTGTTTTTGTGATTAATCACTATGCTTTAATTATGTTCAATTTGTAACAATGAAAATACATCCTGCATATCAGATATTTACATTACAATTCATAACAGTAGCAAAATTACAGTTATGAAGTAGCAACAAAAATAATTTTATGGTTGGGGGTCCCCACAACATGAGGAACTGTATTAAAGCATTAGGAAGGTTGAGAACCAGTGCTCTAAGCAGTTACAATGTCAGTATATTGCTTCCAATAATTCAGGTCCTTATTTTACCAACCTCAGAAGGATGGCCAATCTTGATCTAGTCAGGCTAGAACTCCCAGCTGTGGGCAGAGTTATTCTACAATACTGCATTCTAACTACTGCACCACCAAGGTTCCATGCATGTGTCATCTCAGGCATGGAGAATCCAATCAGCTGTTCTATGCACAGAATGTTGCCATATACTTAATTTTGTGATGGTCCCTTTTAAAAATTATCATTTTTTTCCAAGGAGTCTGTCCTCCAGGTTATGGAGTTGAATAGAAACTCCTTGTCAACTCGCAAAGCTTCCCTAACCTGCTCCCAAATTGCCATAGGCAGGGGGATGGGGAATCGGGCCTCGCAGCTGTATCGAGGAGTTTGCCCCTCAGTCAAAACAAAGCATATTTCAGCTGGCAAAAATCAAGGTCATCTCCATGGAGATCCACAGTAGCTGGAGGGAGTGACTTCTACAACCCGCGAAATTGTTGGGGAATGTGACTGATGACACATCTTGCGGGGAGGGGGAAAGGTGTCAGGGTCAGAGCCAAGGTGCAAATTAAGTGAGGTCAGAGTTGGCTTCACTTGGTACATGCCATCATGACACTCCTAATAAATAACTGGATTTCTTTTGAACCTCAGTTTGAGATTCATGTTTTAATTAGGGCATTGGTTGGAACCCTGGCACTCCTTATATTAATTCCCAAAATACCTGTTTTTTCCCATGAATAGCAACTTTCCCTTGCTCCAAGATATCCCAACATACCGTCAATTCCTTCTTCAGTTTCAAATTGTGGTTTCTCTTCCTCACCAACTCCATAGTACACATCCCCAAAATAATTCTAGATAAGGAAAAGATAACATTCAAGATTTATTTGTCCTGGAGGAAATAAATCTTTAGTATTCTTGAAGCTACATTTTTCCTCCCTATTTGATCTTTTTAAACAAAAAAGTATAGCTGATTGAAACTGTTTTGCGGATACAGTGCCTGCTCTCTGTGACAAACTTCTCCCTCGAGACAGACATGATCTGCAACTGTTTGGATGCTGCAATTGCTTACCTTTGTAGCAGAAGCTCATATGCAACCAGCTTGCCAGCAATTAGAGATTTTAATATAATTGGGAAGCCACAAATTTTATCAAAATATTAACATGCTAGTATATTAAACTGGCAAAAATAAACTTCATTTATTTTCCTTTACCCTTATTTATTCTTTACCTTTATTCTTTACTTATTTACCTTTACTCTTATTACTAAGTAAAAATACTTAAATAGTTACGGCCTTTGTACCTAATGAGAGGGGCTCATCCCTACAGAAACTAATAATTGCACCTATAAATCTCACCAACTTCTACCCAAAACATAGCATGTAAATAGCAATAGCACGTAGACTTATGTACAACTTCACAATGTTTTACAGCCCTCTCTAAGAAGTTTAGAGTCAGCATATTGCCCTCAACAGTCCAGATCCTCATTTTACCAACCTTGGAAGGATGAAGGCTGAGTCAACCTGGAGTCGGTGAGAATCGAACTGCCAAACTGCTGGCAGTCAACTGTGAAGCGGAATTAACCTGCAGTACTGCATTCTAGCCACTGCACCACCATGACTCCTAGCCATGTTCCTAGCTCTAAAAGGGACTACTTTCCTGAAAATGGCTGGTTTTCTTGCCAAAGAATAACTCCACAATACCCACTCAAGAGTCACTTTGAACTATGAGATGGGTAGCAAATAAATTTGATAATAATAATGATTGTTAATAATCCAGGCATATCCTGTCCTGGCTCGATTCGCAAACCCTGCTCACAGTCAGACAAGAAGCAATAGGGAGAGGGTAATGGAATGCAAGGGCACTGGAATGCCCTTGGTAATGGAATGCCCTTGGTAATGGAATAGGTAATGGAATGCAAGGGCACTGACTCCGAAGTGTTCCATGGTCATACCAGCATTCCATGGTCACCGGCTGGGAAAGTTCACCAGAGTCTGTTCCCCAAACAAAGTGAACATAATTGATTGGATGGAATAAAGTGACAAAGGGAGGGCCAGGGAAAAGGGGAACATTTAACTATGCTGTTTGCATGCAAAATCATTAGAATTGATTTCACTATTTCCGTATCCATAACTGATCAGTAAATTATACTCTTAGAAACAAAAATATATGCACTGAGTGGGACAGTTAACATAAAGCTAATTCTCACAATAATACTCTACCTGGAACCCACCAGGAGGTTTGGGGAATGATGTTGTTTCCAGAGAAAGTGTCAACTCGCAAAGCATTTCTAGTCTGCTCTCGAGTTGCCATGGGCAGAAAGGGGAGAGAACTGACGGAGCAATTCAGCAGCCACATTCCTTGCATACCTTCCTCCAAGGTTGGATCTCAGATTATCAGAGCCAGTTTGTGAGGCTGGTTTCTACAGCCCACAAAAGTCCTCATTGGAGAATGTGATTTATGACACAGCCTGAGAGGGGAGGGGGAACAGGGTCACAGTTGAGCTGCAAATTATGTGCGGCAGAGTCGACTACACTTGGGAAGCTGTCAACATGTTGTTCCTAATAAATAACTGGATTTCTTTTGAAACTTGGCTCAAGGCTGATGAGTTAATTAGGGCATTTGTGACAGCTAGTCAACTTTCTTTTTAAATCAATCAAGATTACCAGGCTTCCTGAATCCTAGGGTCTCCAATTGCTCCCCGATATCTGGGGTGCTTGGAGAGAAACTCAGGCAACCATGGCAAAGGGCGAGCTATCCGAAGAAAGCCTGCTACAAGCGACCCAAAGAGACACAGAGATTATTTCCAATCAGGCAATCTCAGGACTCAGCAGTCTGATTGCAACTGGAGTACAGTCCAGACATCAAAGCTGTCCAGACATCAAAGGGCCTGGTGGCTCAGCAGACTGATAGCATTGTGATTAACACCAGCTGTCTGCAATTACTGTAAGTTCGAATCTCACCAGGCTCAAGGTTGACTCAGCCTTCCGTCCTTTCTAAGGTAGGTAAATTGAGGACCCAGTTTGTGGGGGGCAATAAGCTGACTTTGTATAAATATACAAAAGTATGAAGGCTATTGCTTAACACATTGTAAGCTGCCCTGAGTCTCTGGAGAAAGGCAGCATATAAATCAAATTAAAAAAAAAAAGCTGAGACGCGAAGAGGTGTGGCCAGCAAGACGACATGTTCTTCAGGGGCTCCCAGAGAACCGCTGATATCTCAGCTGTTTGGGGGTCTTAATTGACCTAAACAATCTCATAGGGATGGTGAACAAGAGAAGCACAGACTGATTAACACAGGGAAATTGCAAATTCCCTGGTTAGTCGGAAGAAGCTTCTTGCTTCTGAGAAAGCGTACGGAGCCGCTAAAAAGCTGGGGCAGTCACAATGGAACAGAGAAAGCAAAGACAGAGTGCATCATCTGGGTGAGAACCTAGCTTTATTGATAAAAGTTTCTTTTCATACCCACTTGGAATTAATAGAGTGGAAAAGTGGCATAAATGGTACGGGAAACAAAGGATACATGGATATTTCCAAAGACATTAGGTAAGAAATGGTTTGTTATCAGTGAGGGAGAGAGTGAAAGAAAAACACTATCTGAATATACCAATGTGGCTTTCTACAATAGAAGCGTGACATACCAATATTGTGAATATGGGGAATATTGTTAGATATAAGGACATCTTGACAGATCGGGGAGAACTGAAACAAAAACAAAAACTAGAGAGTCAAGGGACTGAGATAGATTGGTATACAAGACTGCAAATACAATCAAGATATGAAGCAGATCGTAGACAATATGGCTTTAACTTGGGGAAATCAGAACTGGATGAAATATTGACAGGAACAATGAGAAAATGATTAAAAAACTATATAATTATTTATTGTGGATCAGACTAGAAGATGAAGAAGTAAAAGAAACAATGATAGCATGGGCAACGAATTTTGGATACACCATAGAATTGGAGAAATGGCAACAACTTTGGGAAAGAAACTATAAATTAACAATGGCAACAGCTTATAAAGAAAATTTGTATAATATGTTTTATAGATAGAATATGCCACCAGAAAGATTAGCTAAGCCGTTTAAAGATAAATCAGCTAAGCGTTGGAAATGTCACCAGTTGCCGGGATCATACTATTATATGTGGTGGTTGTGTAAAGAAGCAAAACATTATTGGGTGAAAATACAAACATGGTTAGAGGGAATGTTGCAGCAACATATAGAGCTAAAACCAGAGATATTCTTACTGGGAATTTTACCAGAGAATTACAGTAAAGAAGATACATATTTGATTATTAATATAAAAACAGCGGCTAGAATTGTATTTGCACAAAATTGGAAAGCAGATAAAATCCCGTTGGAAGGAGAAATTATAAAGAAAATTTTAGAATGTGCAGAAATGAATAGATTAACATTGAGAATAAAAGATAAAGAAGAAGCGATGTATTTCAAGACATGGGAAAAATTTTATGATTGGTTAGAAAGGAAATATGAATAAGGGTATACAGATAAAATAGATAAAGAACAGATGGGAGAAAACAATTTAAAAAAATAGATACCCAGATGATGCCAAGTAAAAGGAGAAAGGGGAGGGGGGGTAAAAGGGGAAAAAAGTGAGATATTATAAAAATGTACACAAATGATAAAATTAAAATAAATATTAATTGAATAAGAAATTGAAATGAGAATAAAGATAATTAGAAAATCGGAGCTGCTCGAATACCACTTTAGATTGAACTGAAAAGGAGCCTTGGTAGTACAGTGGTTTAAAGCACCCTGTTATTAACACAGCTGCCTGCAATTACTGCAGGTTCGAATCTTACCAGGCTCAAGGTTGACTCAGCCTTCCATCCTTTCTAAGGTAGGTTAAATGAGGACCCAGTTTGTGGGGGCAATAAGCTGACTTTGTATAAATATACAAAAGTATGAAGGCTATTGCTTAACGCATTGTAAGCCGCCCTGAGTCTCCGGAGAAGGGCGGCATATAAATCAAATTAAAAAAAAACAAGAGAGAGGGGAAGGAGTAGAGAGGAAGGGAGAAAGAAAGGGAGAAAGAGAGGAAGAAAAGGGAGGGGAAAGAGGAGAAGAAGAGAAGGTTAGAAGGGGGGAAGAAGAGAGGAATGGAGGAAGGGAAGGGGAAGTAGGAAAGAGAAGGAGAGGAAGAAAGAAGTAGGAGGAGAAAGAGGAAGGAAGGGGAGGAGAAGAACAAAGGTTGGAGTAAAGATAAATGGTAAAAGAGCAGCCCCGAAAAAGTAAAAATTAAAAATGAAAGTTAAAAGATAAGATGAATGAAAAATGATGAATAAATTACTGTACATGTAAATGTGTTTATGAGAAATAAAAATAAAAAACTTTTTTAGAAAAAAAAGCTGGGGTGGTCACAATGGAACAGAGAAAGCAAAGACAGAGTGCATCATCTAGGTGAGAACCTGGCTTTATTGATAAAAGTTTATTTTCATACCCACTTGGAATTAATACAGAGTGGAAAAGTGGCATAAAGCGAGGAAGGAGAGTCAGTGTGTGTTGGCTCTCCACTTTCGGTATTGGAGCAGTGAAAAAAGCGAAAAAGTCCAAGGGAAAAAAAAGTTGAATGATTTTTAAAAAAAGTAACTGGGAATTGATTTGAAAGAGCAGATTTGAAATCAAGAGGAGATAGAAGATTGATTGAGTATTTTGAGAAAGATGGAATGACTATAAATGAATTTGAATTGAATAGAAATGGGTTAAAAGACTTGAAGTTTGAAACTGTTTAGTTTTGCTGAATGAAATATACTGCAGTACCATCTAGTGTCATAAGAGAAAAGACTTTGAATTGACTATAAGACTTAAAGTTGACCCTGACAACCCTGGAT